TTGGCCGGGGCTGGGTTTGAACCCGCCACCCTCGGTATATGGGGCTGGCGCCTTACTCACTGAGCCACAGGCGCCTCCCTACCATAAAAACTCTTTAATTTGAACATTAATTAGAGAATAATTGAGTCTAACTTTAGTAACTTACAAGCTCAGAGTCAACCATTCTCAAATTTTTTAAAGCTGTAGTTTGTAACTAATGTGACTGGCATTAATAGGTTAAACCTGTGTTTTATTTACTAACAGATAGAAGATGTAAACCAAAAATTCAACAATTTGACCAGACTTGAAGAATCTGGGTGGCAAAACAATAGTAATGCGAGTAAAAAAGTTTTCCGGGTAAGTTTGTGGATTTTATATTAAAATTTCCAATATAAAGACTGGGCGCAGTGCATTCTGGGAGGCCAAGGCAGGTGGATCGCCTGAACTCAGGAGTTTAAGACAAGCATGAGCACGAGCAAGACCTCGTCTCTAAAAATAGCTGGGCCTGGTAGTGGGCACCTGTAGTCCCAGCTACTCGGAAGGCTGAGGTAAGAGAATTGCTTGAGTCCAAGAGTTTGAGGTTGCTGTGAGCTATGACACCATGGCACTCTACTGAGGGTGACAAAGTGAGACTCTCAAAAAAGGAAAAAAATACCGAACAAATTTTCAATATAGATTCTTCTACTGTTTGTTTTTTTTGTTTTTTGAGACAGAGCCTCAAGCTGTTGCCCTGGGTAGAGTGCTATGGCATCACAGCTCACAGCAAACTCCAACTCCTAGCTTAAGTAATTCTCTTGCCTTAGCCTCCCAAGCAGATGGGACTACAGGCACCTGCCACAATGCCTGGCTATTTTTTAGTTGTAGTTGTCATTGTTGTTTGGCAGACCCTGGACTGGATTTGAACCTACCAGCTCTGCTGTATGTGGCTGGTATCTTAGCCGTTTAAGCTACAGGGACCGAGTCAGGTTCTTCTACTGTTAATGATTTTTGTTTCTTTTTCTTTTTTTTCTTTTTGAGACAGTCTTAAGCCATTGCCCTGGGCTCATGGCAACCTCTAACTCTTGGACTCAAGCAATCCTCTTGCCTCACTTCTGTTTTTAGTAGAGACTAGGGTCTCTACCACATAGAGAGTACATGAATGTTGGTGTTATTTTTCTTTAAAGTGTACCTATTTTCATTTATATGATGCTTGATATGTACCAAATAATCCATTAACTTTACATGTATTAACTTATTCACCCTTTACCACAGTCCAGTGAGATGTGTGCTCTTATCCCCGTTTTGTGGTTGAGGCATCTGAGGCCCAGAAGAATTAATTCACTTACCTAAGGTGGAGCTGGGTTTTAGGCTAGATTTTCTCTTTCCGGAATCCATGTTTATAACCAGTAGGTTATACCCTCTCTGCCTTGTATGATTCTTGGTGTGGTAGATTTCAGAATGAGAATTTTTTTTTTTAGAGATAGTGTCTTACTCTGTTGCCCACTATAGAGTACAATGGCATCACAGCCCACAGCAACCTCTAGCTCTTGGGCTTAGGCAATTCTCTTGCCTCAGCCTCCCAAGTAGCTGGGACTACAGGTGCCTGCCACAACTCCTGGCTATTTTTTGTTGCTGCTTGGCTGGGGCCAGGGTTGAACCCACCACCCTCAGTATGTGGGGCTGGTGCCCTACTCACTGAGCCATAGTTGCTTCCCAAGAATGAGAATTTCTTTCTTTTTTTTTTTTTTTAGGAATTAATGTAATTTTTTATGAAGATAGGATTTTTTAGTTAAATACATGAGAATGGTTAAGTGAAATCAAATGGTTCCAAAAGTCTTAGAATGAAAATAGTGAGAATTTCTTAAATAGAAGAGAGGAATAATGATTCTTTAGAATACCTCTCTTTGGAACAAGAAAAAAAAACCATATAGTTAAGGCAATTCTTAGTAATAAAAACAAGGCTGGGGGCATCAGCCTACCAGATTTTAGGTTATACTATAAGGCCATAGTGATCACAACCGCATGGTATTGGCACAAAAATAAGGACTTAGACATCTGGAACTGAATAGAACACCATCAGATGAAACTAAAAGCTTATAGTCACCTGATCTTTGATAAACCAAACAAGAACATACACTGGGGAAAAGAATTCCTATTCAATAAATGGTGCTGGGAGAACTAGGTAACTACATGGAGAAGACTGCAACTGGACCCACACCTTTCTCCACTCACTAAAATTGATTCAAGATCTAAATCTAAGGCATGAATCAGTAAAAATCCTCAAAGTGCGGGGAAGACACTTAAGGTCTTGGCCTGGGGAAAGATTTTATGAAGAAGACGTCTATGGCAATTGCACAACAACAAAAATAAGCAAATGGGACTTAATTAAACTGAAAAGCTTCTGTACAGCTAAGGAGACAACAACCAAAGCACATAGACAACCATCAGAATGGGAAAGATATTTGTGTATTATCAATCGGACAAAAGCTTGATAACTAGAATCTACAGAGAACTCGAATTAAGCAATAACAACAAAAAGCAAGTGGGATGAATAGCACCTTCTCTGAAGAAGACAGATGAATGGCTAACAAACATGAAAAATGCTCATCCTCCTTAATTATCAGAGAAATGCAAATCAAAACCACCCTAAGATATCACCTAACCCTAGTTAGAATGGCCCACATCACAAAGTCTCAAAGCTGCAGATACTGGCATGATTATGGAGAGAAGGGAACACATGTACACTGCTGGTGGGACTGCAAACTAATACAGCCTTTTTGGAAGGAGGTATGGAGAATCCTCAGAGAATTCAAACTAGACTTCCTATTTGATCCTGCACTCCCATTACTAGGCATCTACCCAGAAGAAAGAAAATTATTTTATCATAAAATGACATTTGCACCAGACTGTTCATTGCAGCTCAATTTACAATTGCTTAATTGTAATTGTTTAGGAAACAACCTAAATGCCCACCAATCCAGAAATGGATTAACAAGCCATGGTATGTATATATCATGGAATACTATACAACCACTGAAAAGGATGGTGATTTTACATCTTTTGTATTTATTTGGACGGAGGTGAAATACATTCTTCTTAGTAAAGCATTACAAGAATGAGAAGCAAGAATCCAATGTACTCGATTCTGATATGAGGACAATTGATGCTAGTGCAAGTTGGGGGAAAGGGGAATGGGAAAGGGAGACAGGGAAGGAGGGAGGGAGTAGGGGCCACAGTGCGGGGCACACCTCTTCTAGGCGGGACACTATTAATAGAGGGACTTCACCCAGCAAATGCAAGTAGTATAACCTGGCTCATTGTGCCTTCAATGATTCCCCAACAATAAAAAAGAATAAATAACAAAAATAAGATAGAAAAAATAGAATACCTGTCGTTTTTCCTATACAGTAAAATTTTATTTTGTAAAATTTCCTATTTTTCCTATAAAGTTTGCTTTGTTATTATGATAGAC